ATTTTGGATGATTGTTGCTTGGATATTCAACAACAAATTGAAGAATTTTGAAAAAAGAAATAAGATATATATATATATATATATATATATATATATATATTAATTATAAGACAAAAATATATTTATATATTTTACTTTTATTGTTGTCGACCACTCGTGCGACAATGCTAGTGTGTCCAACTTATGAGTCTAGGAACGAGGAATTCCAACATACTAGTTAGGCAGATGATAAACACACCTCCACTCTCGTATAAACACACCCCTTTTTTTAAAAAAATATATAAAATGTCTAAATTACCCTTAAAAAAATGAAATTCCTAAATTTACACCCCCTTCCCCGCACCCCCTTCCCCGCACCCGCCTTCCCCGCAAGCAGAACCTGCCGTTGTTGCAGCCGAGTCAGCTGCCGCGATTCCAGGCGAGCCAATGGATATCATGACTGCCTTACAACTTGTCCTCAGAAAATCTCTGGCTTATGGTGGTCTTGCACGAGGCCTTCATGAAGCATTAAAAGTGATTGAGAAGCATGTTGCACAGTTCTGTGTTCTAGCAGAAGACTGTGACCAACCTGACTATGTTAAACTTGTTAAGGCCCTTTGCGCAGAGCACAATGTTAGCCTGTTGACGGTTCCTAGTGCAAAGACCCTTGGAGAATGGGCTGGTGTAAGCGTCATTCACAATGAACCTTAAACCTTGATAATTTAATTTCTTTTAGAATTTCATTGAAACTTAATTTTTGTTGGTTAATATTGAATATTTATCATGATCGTTCTTTAGTTATACTTTTAGGCTAATTAGTTTTGTTTCATTCTTTTTGTTTATTAATTCTGTTGGAACTTCTCTCTGTAGCTTTGCAAGATTGTAGCGGGGAAGGGGGTGTGGGGTGAGGGGAAGGGGGTGCAGGGAACGGGAGTGCAAGGAAGGAGGTGTAAATTTAGGAATTTTAATTTTTTTAAGGGTAATTTAGACATTTTATATACTTTTTTTTAAAAAGGGGGTGTATTTATACGAGAGTGGAGGTGTGTTTATCATCTGCCTAAATGAGAATGCTACTTTTAAGCTTAAGTTAACTTCTCGGGCTCGTTAATAGCCCATGGATCAATCCGCATTCATTCCTTAGTAAACCAATTAGTAGCCTCAAAAATTCAAAATTAGTTTTTTTTTTTTTTAACTTTAAATTCATAGTGAAATTCATAATCGGCCCGAAGAGTTGAAGAAAAACAGACAAACATACAGGTATAAGATAAGTATTATAACTTTTTCCTCCTTTTCCAGCAACTAAATGAGTTTCTATTTCATGAAGTGTTTTCTTTTTAATATCTCTAAACTCATTCAACTATTAATCCAAAAAATATCTAAAGCACAAATTTTAAATGAATAATATTATAATTCGCTACGAATTTTCATTCAACCTATTAAAAATATTAAATGAAAAATATAATTTAATATATGAAAAATGGAGTAGTTGTTCTATACTTACCTATCACAAGTAAGAAAATTAATAGCAACATCTAGAAGATTTAGAGTTTCTTGCCGACTAAGTTCAACATAAGATAGGATTTATTTACGGTGTATCAATGTTTTAAGTGTCCTAAAAATAAAAAAAAAATAAAAAAAAACACGGTTTTAAGTTGTAATCCACATTTGTGTATAAAAAAATTGTGGAAAACAATGTTTGGACTTTGGACACCCACGTCCTATTTAATATCTAGTGGGAAAGATATAAAAGAAAAAATATAAATATTGTAAGTGAAATTTCTTCTATCGTTGTCGTTTTTGAAAAATAAAATTTTAAAATAAGTATCATACTAATTTTTAAATGTAGTATTAATTATCGCTTTTTTATTTATAAGTTTCAAAATAGTTTTTTTAGAAGTGATTATTATTTTATATTATTTATAAAAAAAATAATTATAAAATTGATTTTATAAAATTATTATTCACTTTCATCAAATTATTGACTTTTCTTAATTCTTGTAAAATAATATAAGATGACACCTATTATAAGATAAAGGAAGTTCTTTTTTTAGATAAAAAAATTAAAATTAAAACAAGACACAATCTCATATAAGATTGATCTAACTATTATCTTTAAATTTTTTTTAATAAAATTAAATATTTTTTATTTTATCCTGAACACAAGTCTATATAAAAAAATATATAATATGATGAAAATTTAATTTAATCTCATGTCTTAATTAATAAAAGTGAAAAGATTTAATCAGCTGTGTTATTCTTACGAGATTGGTTAAGGGAGTATAATATAATAGAAAAAATTAAAATAAAATAAAATACAAGTGCTTGACAAATTTGAGTGAAAAATCATTATTCAAACATTATTTCTCCTCTTAGTCTTACATTGCGCTTGGTAAAGATGATTTACTTCAGAATGGAAAAAATGAGAGTAGATTTGCATGTAATTGAAAAAACATAATAATCTTGGAGACAGTAATTTGAGTGAATTTAACGGAAATTGAGAGTGAGTCCTTAAAAAAAAAAAAAAAAAACTCTTAATATAAGTAGAAATATATCAAAATTCGGTAAAATAAAAAAATGTCGTTAAATCATCATCCAATTAATCTGATTATATTCACAAAAAAACACATATCATATTTAATTCAAATCAATCAATTATAAATTATTACAATAGTTACATATTTAATTATATATTATTATAATTGTTACATACTCATTTATGTCTATATATTTTTTTGAATATGTAACGATTATAATAATATATAATTGTTACATATTTGCTTATTTAATCGTTACATAATCAAGTATGTAACAATTATAATAATATAATTGGTTAATATATCTAACTATATATAAAATCAAATATGTAATTAATTTAATTTAATTTTTATATATAATATACTATTTTAAATTTTTTTTTAATATTTTCACATAATTTTATTTTATTAATTAATTATAAAGTGTACTATATTTTATATTATTTTTTTTTATCAAATTAATTCTCATTATTCATTCTGTTGTTCGTCCGATCAAATTCAAAGCTTTAGATTTGTTTGGTACCATGACAACTTGCTTCTAATAATTCGAAAATCCAAAGCTTTAGATTTCCTTCTGCCATGCACAACCACACCCACGTTTCGTACTTTCAAACATCACTGTCACATTTACTCATATGCATGCGTTTTCCAATCGCTTCCAATGAAAAAAAGAAACTAACTACTTCAGGTTCAGATAATTACTGTCCTATAGATACTCAACCACAGGTTCCACTATCACACTTCTGTCGTTTCCACACCAACCTTAAAATTTCCATCTTTGTAGCCGCCATTCTCAGAATGTTTCAAACTTTCCCGGAAGTTTTCCAATTTCACTTAACACTAGTTTCAGTCGCAGCATAGCTGAAAACCATTGTTGTGTTCATTGATGGAAGAAGGAAGAGCCGTGGCGGACAAGAAAGTGACAAAGAACGAGGTTGTTCTTCGAATTTCAGACACCGGAGAAGCCATGTATGGAAAGAAGGAGCAAGCAGATTGTAGAAGTTTCCCCGTAGCTGAAAGCACTTCCCTTTCTCCGCAGAACAATACCCAAATGGGTAAAGGGTTCAGAGATTTACGTGCTACACTCACAGGGCTTGAGAATGTGAGAAAGGGTCAAGTTTCCTCGGAGTCGGTAACAATAGCAAGTGCTCGAAGGTTGATGGGTCGGTCGGAATTTTCGAAGCCGAAGTCCAGAATGGTGGAGCCACCGCATCCAAAAGATGCAAACTTTGTTGAAGGAAAGGGTCAAATGAAAAGTCCCAATTCATCTGCAAGGAATTCTCCTAACAAGAGTGCTGCAGTTATTTCTCCAAGGGATGGTATTGTTCTTGAAGCAACAACTATTGTTACCCCGAGAGCCCCCTTGCTTGGGACTCCAGGGGAAGAAGAAGATGAAGATGAAGAAGTGTACAAGACTGCAAATATTGAAGTGAGTAAGAGATCTGGTAAGAAGTGGAGAGTATTGGGTTTTGTTGAGTGGTTTGCTTTAGTTTGCTTAGTGGGGTTTTTTATTGCAACCTTGACTGTTCATAAGTTGCAACAAAGGACAATTTGGGGTTTGGAACTGTGGAAATGGTGTGTGTTGGTACTGGTTATACTATGTGGTAGATTGGTCACTGAGTGGTTTATCAATGTTCTGGTTTTTCTGACTGAGAGGAACTTCTTGTTTAAGAAGAAGGTTTTATATTTTGTTTATGGTGTGAAGAGCAGTGTTCAGGCCTTTATATGGCTAGGTTTGGTTCTTTTGACATGGGACCTGCTTTTCAACCATGGAGTGAAGAGAACCAGCAGAGTTACTAGGATTCTAAATTACATTACTAGGACCCTTGGTTCTTGTCTTATTGGAGCAGCTATATGGTTGGCAAAACAATTGTTGATAAAGCTGTTAGCTTCAAAATTTCAATCTACTAGGTTTTTTGACAGGGTGCAAGAATCAATTTTTCATCAATACATTCTGAGGATTCTCTCGGGTCCTCCCTCGATGGAGATGGCCGAAAAAGTAGGCAATACTTCGAGTAGTGGCCGGCTCAGTTTTAAGACCATGACTAATGAGAATGAAGGGGAGAAAGAACAAGTCATTGATGTAGAGAAGCTCAAGAAAATGAAACAAGAGAAGGTTTCTGCTTGGACTATGAAAGGGTTGATTAATGTGATAAGGAGTTATGGGTTGTCTACCATGTCCTATTCGCCAAATAGTGCCGATGAAGATGAGATTGACCAGAAAGATTATGAAATTACTAGTGAGTGGGAAGCAAAGGCAGCTGCTTATCAAATTTTCAGGAATGTAGCCAAACAAGGAAACAAGTAACCTCGTTACCCTCTGAAAACTCTCTGCATTTTCTTCTTTTTCTGATTCAGTTTCTCTGGAATTGCCTCTTGTTCTCATTTCTCCCTCAAATTTTTAGGTATATTGAGATGGATGACCTCTTGAGATTCATGAAAAAGGAAGAAGTGGAAAATGTGCTTCCACTATTTGAAGGGGGAGTTGCGACTGGAAGAATTAAGAGGAAGTCTCTGAAGAACTGGCTGGTAAAGTCTCTTATATTACATTTTACTTTATCAGAAGCTCCAAATTATAACCATTATAGCCAGTCTAGTAGTAAAAATTAGGATAGTATCTCCTGAGTCTTAAGTTCGAACTTTAATATCGTCATTGTAGTTTCCACTAATAAAAAAAAAAAGCTCTAGACAATTACAAAGTTTCAATTTTCAAAATTTTTCTTTTGTCAAAGGAAAAAAAGAAAAAAGTTTCCTTTAGCATTGTTGTTTCATCCTAAGAATTGGTTAACAATGTATAGAGTTGACGCTCACATATAGAGTTGTTAAATTCACAACTTGCTATCAAACTATTGTTCATTTCAATGCCACAAGCATTATGCTCACACATTATTCTTATTGGCAGGTGAAAGTCTATCTTGAACGCCGATCACTTGTACATTCACTAAATGATACCAATACAGCAGTTGATGACTTGAATATGCTTGCTTCTGTAATTGTGCTTATTGTGATCATTATTGTGTGTCTTCTTATAATGGATTTATTGACGACTCAAGTTCTTGTCTTTATTTCATCCCAGCTTTTACTTGTGGTTTTCATGTTTGGCAACACAGCTAAGACTGTGTTTGAAGCTATTATATTTATTTTTGTAATGCACCCATTTGATGTTGGTGATCGCTGTGTCATTGATGGTGATCAGGTAGTTTTCAACTCTGTCAGCACTCTTAACATTCACATGACGAAAAATTGAACTGACACATTTGTTATGCTTCATAGATGATTGTGGAAGAGATGAACATACTGACTACAGTATTTTTGAAAAGTGACAACGAAAAGATTTTCTATCCAAATTCAGTTCTGGCAACCAAGCCAATCAGTAACTTCTACAGGAGTCCAGAAATGAGTGATTCAGTTGAATTTGCTGTTGATATTTCTACTTCTATAGAAAGTATTGGAGCTTTAAAGGCCAAGTTAAAAGCGTACGTTTTTAATATGCTCTAGCTATAAATTTTGAATATACTATGTCTGTCTCTGATTTGGAACGTAATTTAGTCCAGCTGTTCCTTAAATTAGGAGATTACAGCAATGCTTTTGGTATCAATGTCTATCCTTTGGTCTTAGTTCTAGCAAAAAGGGTGGAGTGATCTGGGGTAGAAATCTGTAGTAGATCTAGAAGATTACTTACTATACTATTATAATGCTTATAAATATGACTAGTCTAAATTCATAATTCTTTTCCTCCACTCTAAAAATGTTTCTGTAGCATAAAAAAGTTTTACTATTATTAATAGAAAACTGGTTCTGCTAGGTTCCACAGATGACTAATTTCTTTGTACATTGTCTCCATTATATGTGTATTTCAAGTAACTTGTTATTTTTGGACAAAATTTTCAGATATTTGGAAAGTAAGCCTCAACACTGGCGCCCCAACCACAGCATAACGGTTAAGGATATTGAGAATGTAAATAAGATGAAAATGAGTCTATCCGTCAATCACACCATAAATTTTCAGAATTACGGGGATAAGAGCAGCCGAAGATCTGATTTGGTCCTGGAGTTAAAGAAAAATCTTGAAGAACTTAATATTAAATATCATCTGCTGCCACAAGAAGTTCATCTCAGTTATGTAAGGTCATAAGACTCAACGGCACAAACATGTTGAAGATACCTTTCATATGGTGCAAGCATGTAGCACAATTTTTCTGTGCGATTATTGTGGTTCTTGACTAATGATTCCCCCATAGTCTATCCAGTTTGGCATCAAAGATGGTGTGACAGATTGACGATCTACTTGTTTCTAGGGGAACAAAAAAGTGAAATTGGTTTGTGCAGTCAAAGTGTTTGTGTCGAGCTTCTTTTTCTACTCAATGTGAGACTCTTAACATTGTCATTGATATCCACAGTGACTCCTAATCTATCGATACTAACTCAATAATAGTCTTTTTCCTTTTGATGACTTTACTCACCTATTAGTATTCAACATTTCACCTTAATCTAACCTATAAATAGTCTTTTCTATAGTCCAACTCTCAATAAAAATATTAATTGTTAAGATTGATCCATTTAAGTATCATGTCAAACTTTTTTATTTTACCCAATGGAGCCCTTACAGTTTCCCTGTGAACTGTTTGTGGTACAAGATGTTTGATGGCATTGTTGTATGAAGAAGTGACAAAAATCACTCCCAGAGCTCTTACTTGAAAGAAAGAACACAAGTTGTGTCATGTGTCTTTGTACACTTTTGGAGGTCTAGACTTGCAAATTGCACAAAGGATGTCAAGTTGCCAAATACTAAAGAAAAGGAAGGGACTGGGGTGGGGACAGGCATTAGGAAAATTGGAAAAGTTCAAATCACATGATCTGTTTCTCATTTTATTTTATTTCAGTTCCTTTTACTAATGTGTAAGAGGCTGAGTCATGTTTAAGTATCATGATCTGTTGTTGTTTATCTTTGTATTATCAATACCACGTGATATGTGAATTATGTTGTGTTAATAACAACAGCATGCATCGATCGTCATGGCATATCTTTGTGCTATATGATCAAGATATTTGTGTTTTATTTAGTGAAATTTGCACATCTTTGAGCTATATCAGAAGAAAAAATATTAGCTCATGTTTCAACTTTTTTTTTTTTTTTTTCACATCTTATTACGCTATATTTTTAAGGGAAAAATAAAACAAACACAACAATGTGAAAAAATAATTTAAACTTTTGATCATAGAATTTATATTCACCTCAAAGATATAAGTATGACCTCAAACTAGATGAGAAATGATTTTTCATTGAATTTGACCAATCTTTAGGGTTTGTATTTATCTATATATTTTGAACGTGCAGGTTATGTTTTTAGAAGAAGAAAAAAGAAATATTTTAAAACGAATAGTTAACATATATTAATGAAAAGAATATTGTAAGAAGTGTTTTAAAAATTGTTTGAAACGCTATTGATGGGCATAAATGAAGATGTATTAGAGTGACAAAGAATTACAATATTATATTCTCTTATAATATTTTTATATTACTAATTTTACTAATATTAAATAAAATACATTATAAAAATTTAAAATATCTGTTTTAGATAAATAAAAAGAATATTGTAGTAAGTGTTGGAATCATTCTTTGAAACGCTAATGATGGACATGGTTGTATATTTCTTTTCCATCCTATATTTTTGTAGAAACGAACATGTTATAGAGATCTTGATTCTTGATAAAGAGTTCAGTTTAATGATGACCCCATAAGAAAATATCATTTATTAACAATTTTATCCACGTTAAATTATTTTCCATTAATTTAATCATTTTTTAAAACTAAAATCAAACTGTTAGCCACTGACACCATTGTTAGCCACTGACATCATGAAGAATGATATATTAACAAATAATTTAATAGAATATGTTGAGAAAAAAATTGGTTACTTTATGTTTACGACCTATGAGAATATTTAATTATTATTTTTGAAGATAAATATGTTAATTTTATCATGCTCTCATATCAAGTATGATGATATAAAGAGAAAATGGTAAGTATGTGAAAATAATCAACATACAATAACAACATTAAATGTTAACTAAAACAACTTAAACAACAATATTCATTAATGCAACTTCAACATATCATCAAGTATCACACTTACAACTTGTAACATAAAACAACTTCATATAAAAGCAATATTCTTAACATATTAACAACATTCAACTAATGCGTTATCATAAATATCAACTACGAAAATCTCCTACGATAAAATGAACAATTTAAATGGTTAAACCCTATTTAATCACAACGTTTGACCTATCATAATAGGTCAAGTATAGAAAATCTTAGGCCTCAAAGAGTGTTAAGTATACAACTTAAATTTGGTTTCTCAATTTTTGTCACTTAAATTAGGAATTCTAGTACTATTATCAGGATAAAAACAACTTGGGTATGCCTACCACAACATTAACTTATAACACTAAGCCTCTTATGAAATTAGTTCATCACACCATCAAATACTACATCTTCTAGTACTCAGATAAGGACTAAGCTCCCAACATTGGTCACTTTATGCATGTATGTCTCAACCTTGGTCACATACAGATTTCACACAAAACTTAGAGGAGACAACTTAAAATAATTACCCATTTAGAAGCCAACTTACTAAAGGGTTCTCAACTAGGGCTCTTGGAGCATTACAACTTATATCCATACAATAGGATATTTTAATTTCTAAAACAACTTTTACTCTCTTGTAGTTTTTATGTATCTTAACAAGAACATATATATACACCACATGCCTAATAATTTAATAACTTGATTAATTATGACATCATACAACTTTACAACTTAATCATCTATCAACTTACAACTTAGCAACATAAATATCATCAAACATTATCTCAACTTAATGCATAAGGAACCATCTATATGCGTCATTCATCATATAACCAAATCATCACTTTTCAATCATGAAACAACTTAAACATCACATTAAAATCATTCAACTCACGTTGGACACCATCCCTTAGACATTTGACACTATTGAGGTAAGGGACTTCTGGTCTCACCCACGTCCAACACCAAATTCCTGATGATCAACCTGGATAATGCAAAAAGCCTCATACTCTCTTATGCCTAGCAATGTCCAGCCTTAACTAGGTAAAGGGTCTTTGCATAACTCAGCCCGTCATCACTACTTTGGCTCTTGACGTCAATTTAGGCATAGACGATTCTTTCTCATCACGTCTAATGTTGTTTAACTTAACACCCAACTTGACCAAGTCATAAACGATTTTCTCCTTATGGTCGGCACCACCAATCTTGGGCCCAACGTCAAGAGACTAAGAACTTATGACTTTGAGCCACTCCTAATGCTATGAAGACGTGTTCAGCACGATGACAGATTTTGCACTTATGCAGAAACTTAATTTGCCCAACCCACCTGAAATTTGGTCAAAATCCAACATGCAACAAGTAATACAACATATATGCAACATGTGGGACTCATTTCAATAATCAAAAGCAACATGCATTCATCAAATATAAGAATCATCATATTTTTCTCAAAGACACCTACAATGGCCCAAAACTCAACAACTCAACATCTCCTTAAAATTCAATCATACAGCCAACAATTTATGAATCTAAGCAACTATTCACATCACAATCCAACAATGATTTAGACACCAAACTTACGTTACCTCAAATCAATCAACCAAGAAGAGGAGAAGAAAAGAATAATAACCACATGACTCTGACTTGGTGTTCTTAGCTCCACAAACTTCAAATCACAAATCAGTCACCTTGGATCAATTATAGGAAGAGTAAGAGATAAATCAAGGAATGAGAGAATTGAAAAGAGTTTTCTAAAACTCCAAAGACCTTCTCTCAAGTTTTTCTTAAAACATAAACTTATAAGTTTCACGTCTTTAAAAAAAATCTTATTTACCCTTATTTTAGATAATTCAACTAATTCCAACTAAAAAGAGACAACCTAGCTCTCATGAGTCTTTTGCCCTCAAAGTTCTAAATTGTTAGCACGAACAACAACTTACTACTAATCATATAATTAATTTAACACATCTTAAAATATATGATATTACACAAATTAATTAAAATTAATTAATTTAAATTTTATATTTTCACATTCGAACCATGTAAACACTTATTAGTAATACAAACTTATTAGGCTATACCAGAAATTGACATTATATATATATATATATATATATATATTATATAT